ACTTAATCCGTTCCAGGACTCTGGTCATGACCCAAGTCAAGTTTCCCCATAAGGTTCAATGTAAATAAGGTTAATCCGTTCTGTAACTATTTTTTTCTTAATCAGAAAAATTTGAAGCAAAGTGACAACAACGATCGTGGCCATCTCCCCTCCCCACCCCAAGCACAAGCGTGGCCATCTCTTCCCCCCACAGCACGACCATGATTGAGCCCGTCATCCTGGCACGCTCGGGGGGGGCGCGATCGTGGGTGCGCTCGGGGGTGAGATGGGCACAATTGTGCTGGGGGTGGGGGAGATGGCCGATTGTGGTTGTGCTCATGCAGGAAAGATGGGCGTGATCACAGCCATCTCCCCACCCCACACGGGGGTGGGTGGGGAGATGGCCGTGATCACGGTCGCCACCCAATGCAGAGTTCGTGACCTGACTCAAAATTTTAACGAAAGTTTTGTTCATGACCCGATTTGGTCGTGAACTGAGGTGTTTGTGAGCCGAGGTACCACTGTATTTTTTACAGTGACCACACAGCAATGGGTGAGTGAAGTTATGAATATTTTCAAGTTTATGACCCCCACAAAAGAATACAGCCATATTTGGTCATAGCTATTATTAATAGTTCACCACTAGTATTAGGTACAATTAGGACAATTAGGCCATTATTACAGTACTCAATTTTTGCATTTAAAGTCCACTGAAATTAGTGGGCTCTATTTCCTGCATCCAGTTGAGTTGTGACCAGTTTATTCATAGACTCTGTTAAAAGTAGCAGAGGGAGGGAGTCACAATGGTATTATTTGTTCAGATATATGAAATCTGAATAAAGCTACCTTCCTTAACATGGGAAAAGGCTCCCTTCTGTGCATGGTCATTTCTAGGACATCTGCAACAAATTGCTTATCAGAGAATTTTGAAGAAATGCAATTTAGCACCTATGAATGAAAATAATCAACACTCTTAACAGATGTTTTGAAGAAATGCAAAGCTGGCTTCAAATTAAGCTACCACCAGCCTGTTAGTTAACAGTTTCTCACAGATGAGCCCAATACAGAAGCTGGAGCACTAATGGTACTTTTGGTTTGGCTTTTGTTTAGCTACAGATTTGTTTATTGATTCAAACCCAGATTCCTTTTTGAAACTCATCAGAACTAGCATCAGCTAAATTATATAAAACTGGTGAGGTAACAAACCACTTCATAGCTTAGGTTCAATAAGCAGTGCTGGCTAAGTAAAGTCTTCCTCCTATAAACTGAGCATATCTGATCACTTATTTATGTGTCACCTCACACAGGTATATTACAAAATTCAGTGTGAGTGCATTTTTGCTCTCTTGAGCAAAAGCCGTTCTTATTTTCCTCCAGTGCAATCAAAAAAAGGAGAGGTTGCTTACCTGTCACTATAGTTCTTCAAATGGTCATCTGTGCATTCACACATAGGAGATGGGAAGAATGCAATGCCTTGACTTACACAGAAATCAGACATTACTTTCAGGATGACTGAAATGACTATTGGCACAACACTACCTTGTTCTTATGAAAGGTAAGGTTGGGAGCATCATCCAGCAGGGCATATAATTCACTGGTTCTTTCAGCCAGCAAAATAGCCATGATAAATGCCACCTTCCAAGAGAAGAGATGCAAGAAAATGGTGATTAAGGACTCGAACGACTTCATTGGTAGTGCCTTCAAGATCACAGAAAGGCTCCAGGGTGGTATGGGGGAATTAATTGGAGAGGTGAGGCTCTGAATTTCCACAAAGAAATTGTCAAGCCAAAGGATGAGAGAAAACTGTATAGCCTTGAAGAGAGGCATAGGAAGCAGAAATAAAGATGAACTTGAAGGGATGACGATTTTAGATCTTTCATGAATGAGAAATCCATCCTCCAACTCTTCCAACAGTTGGGAACAACCTATTCCCTCTCCTGGCCCTTTCTCCTGATTCCAGTGGATCAGAAGCTTGGAAATCGTCACTCCTCCAACTGGTTACATACAAGTCCTATGCAGACACCCCCCTGCACCACTACACAATTAATGTGTATGTGGGAGGAATAATGTGATGGTGCCCATTGGCTACACCCCAGTCTCCACATGTTAGTGTGATTTGTGACAGGCGCAAGAATTTGTTTATTCTATATAAAATCTCCATGTGATCAGGAACTCCAATAATGCAGATACATCATGCGTGCCCAACAACCTATGCAAGTTATGTGCAGACTACGCTATACATATGTTGAGGTCCTTTCATCAGTGAATGGCAGGCAGGAGTGGGGTCACTGGGTATGCAAGACTGAGGACAGCAGATGCCACTGCACTCTCTTTTCATATGTTCAGCAAACAGGAGGGGGAGTCTGCAAAAGACTAGTATGCCATTTGGTCTAGAATATGTTGGGCTGCTAAAGTTAAAACAGGCAGTTAAAATCAATGGAGTTAAAGCAGTTTAACTGTGTGCAAGAGAACAATTTAGGCAAGCTGATATGGTGTAAACCAGCCTTCCCCAACCTGGTCCCCTTCAGATCTTTTGGGCTGCAACGCCCATCTGTTCCAGCCAGCATGGCCAATGATCAGGAATAGTCTAAAACATCTAGAAGGCACCAAGCTGAAGAAAGCTCAGGTAAAACACAGCTAGATTTCTGTGCATTGACTCAAATAAATTCTGTGGCTTATTCCAAGATAAGGTTAGATAGGCCTTAAGCTGCCAGTTTTGATCACAGGCTCTGCTAAAGCATCTGGACTCTATTCATTCTCTCTCTCTCTCTCTCTCTCTCTCTCTCTCTCTCTCTCTCTCTCTCTCTCTCTCTCTCACACACACACACACACACACACACACACA